CGATGAGCAACAATCCACCAGGCGGGACAAAGCAAATCGCTACGTGGGGAAAACGCGCAAAGCCCAGTTCGGTCTCCACGCGGGGCACAAATATTGGCCATACCTCTAGCTCGTGCAATCGTTTAGCAATTCCGCGCGCGAAAAAAAAAAAAAAAAAAAAAAAAAAAAAAAAAAAAATACAAAAACGAACGTCAATGTGAACAAAGCACGAACGTCCCGCGAACGTAAACAGAACGCGAACCGAGCGTCAGTTTCACGTGAACATGTTTGGACGCCCGTTTGCATATCGTTACAAACGTTTCAGTCAGCCTTCTTACAAAAGGGCAAGTCGAACTGAGACAGCATATATATGCGTGAAAATGCAAAAAATAAAATAAAGTAAAAAAAAAAAACGGGGCAACCTTTTCGCGCTCTCCCGTTTGTGTGTATTTTTATTTTACACGACCCGCACACCGACTCTCCTCTTACCGCCCGAGCGAGGAGAGAGCCCTTATGTACAAGAACGGTCACGCGCACGACGGAGATGCAAACGCAGTTCCTTTTTCTTCATGTACGCACATGTGTATGTCCTATATGTGACCCTCCTTTCCTGCACAAATGGAGGAGATCTGCGTGTACTTATAAGAGAGTCATTTCTTGAAGGGGCAAGAGGAGAGAGGCACCATTGCACACACTCCTCGGTGAAGGGAAATCCTCCACACGGATGAGACCAAAATGAGGAATACATTTTTACCTACTTAAAAACTTCATTTTGAATTTTTTTTTTTTGTTTCACTAGTTATATGTTACGTGAAGGGTACAGCGACCTGTCCAATGTGGGAGGTGCGAGGTTGGAATTCGAAACGAAGCGGTAAAGGCCATATGCCAATAAAAGTACACACACGTGATGGGGAAAAAAAAAAAACGTTGCACACACGTGATGAGAATAAAAAAAAAAAAAAAAAAAACACATTCACATTTAACAAGTTTTCATCGAACAAATTGGTGAATTCCTGTTGGCGTTAAAATAATCGGGCGGGACTTGCAAAGAGGGGGTGTTGTTTTCCCCATTTATGCTCTACAATTTCGAACCCTTTCTCTTGTTCTACGTTCACCGTGTATGGACCTGCTCCCTGTCCGCCCACTGCGCCAGGACAAATAGAATGGACTTCATTCGAGTCAGTACATTTCTCCCTCGTTGGGCTGCGGCAACCTGTTGTTCACACTCGAGAGCATCTCCTGTCTGAGCGCGATTAAAATCGTTTCGATGGTGTAGTTCCTGTTCCAATTTTTTAAAATCTGCAAATTATTCTTAACGACCTGTGTAGCAGAAAAAAAAAAAAAAAAAAAAAAA